TACAGAGTGCCTATGTTTGCAGTACTGAGTGTGTGTATTTTGTTTTATTAGTCTTCTGTTCTTTGTCCAGTTTACTCTAGTGTTGGTTGCTATCCCACACAATCTTTTGTGGGGTAATCAGAGCAGGTGGCAAAGCCTTCTGGGAATGAGCCTTTATCAGCGGAAGACTGATAAGAGTCAAGGAAAAGATTCAGAACATGTTACAAACCTCTGTGTTTGATTAATAAAAGAATAAACGTAACACATTCTGTGGGCTATATCTTAAGACATGAATGTTAAAGGCATGTTTATGCATGACTGCAACATTAAATATGTTACAAAGAGTATCATTTTTCAGGGGGTAAAGTTTGTGAAATCACTCATTGATTTTTTTCAGACTTTCTGAAATTGTGTGAAATTAATTTATCTAGACAGAAAAGACTGAGACCTGCTCATTTGGTTATTAACTGGTCCGGTGGTTTCAGTTTCTGTTGCCTTAAGAAATTTCTTAACAGAAAAAAAAATATTCAATTAGTAGTCAATTAAATAAACGTAAATGTTTGTAAATTTATTATTCTGCCTCCACATTATCTTCTGCTGAACGTGTTACAACACACACAAATTTATTTATTTATTTTTTTAAATATCTCCATCATCTCCCCTGAATCCCAAATTCACATGATCCAGTGTTGTGAAAACTGAACAGAAATTATGTGTGAGCATAAAACTAGTAGATTGGATCAAATCACAAATACATAACATATGTATAAAAATATAATTTAAATAGTTTACCTGGATAGGAAATACTTTTAATAATGAACAATGTTCCAAACAAACAAAGCAAAAATTTAGAATTACGTTACAAAACTGATTTTTTTTTTTTTAATTCAAAACGTTTTTTAAAGATCACAATCTGACATATTTTTTAACATCATGTTAACATTGACCTACCCTGTCTGAAAAGAAACGCACACACACTCAACATTTCTCCTGAGTGCTGGGGAGAGGTATGTGGATTGGCGGTGTCCAAAGAAGGCCTGTCCACCATCTGGGCCAGGAATGTGCAGCCCCAATCAAAAGGATTGACAGAGGCCTCTCTTTGTCTGAATGCTCTGTGCCTCTAGATAGCTATAAAACACCTGGATCAATCAGCGGGTGACAGCACAGAGACAACGAGAGAGAAAGAAGATCAGTCGCTGGCAGAAGCGGCTCACCTCCCTCCCTTGTCCTCCTGAGGCGGCCGTGCGCCCCCCTCCCTATGCCCCTCTCTCCAGTACTTTGAACACAGTTATGTCTCTGGATACTGCAGCAGGCTGTCACTGGTTTGATCTCTGTCAGCTGAGTCTTTGAGAGGAGTTCACAGGGTCCTCAGTGGTCCAAGCAACAATCACCCTGGACTTCTCTTTGTGTCTCTCTTCCGTTCAATGTCCACTCTGTGCTGTGTTCACACTGACTGATGCACAGTGTGCATCATGCTTAGCCGGACATCTCTGCACTGATATATATATAATACACAATATAATATATACTGTAAGCTATTAGAAAAGTTTGTGTCATTTACAATCCCTCTTGCACATACACTCCTTTTCTGTCTAAGATGTCAACTGATAAAAATTCTGTCAAATATTGCAAAAAGCTAAACTAGTTTTAACTTGGATGTAATTTGGCAAATGACCACCGAATAGGCAGGATAATCAATGGCTTGGCATGACTTAAAATATTTGAAATGCACATGACATTATAATGGCATAATTGTGTAAATAAAAATAAAATCAACAATCCTTTTGTGTGAAGTACTTTCTTCTGCTACATATTTACATCTGCATTTGACCATCTGAACATCAAAAGTATTTGCTAATAATAAAAAAAATACTGTAATGTTTTAGTGATGACAAGACAGAGAATGTTGTTCACAGATTATAAGGCCTCATAAAACCACCAACCTACAGAGTCTGTAGTTCTCTGCTGTTTCACACCGCCAGTGTGAGCAGAGCGTCAGTGACAGTGCATTGATAATGACCAAATACACATTAAATAACAGTAAAAGTAGCAAACCAAATACCAAATAAATACATTGATAATATCCACGGATTTTCATGTATTCAATAAAATGAACTTGGACAATTAAAAATGGCAACAAATTTTTATTTAGGCCCAAACTACAAAACCAAATTTAAAATTTTTTAATATTAGTTTTGCTTATTAAGTTGCACACTAGTTTGATCATGTATAAATATCATTATAACTATATTGTATAAATATTATTATAACTATAGGCCTACATCATCCTGACAATGATGAAAAGACATGAATGACACTCCTCAGAGCATGAGAAGCATACAGTTCTTTGTGATCTATATAATTTGTAAAATAAAGACTTGCAGGTTAAGGAAACAGCATTGGAGGAAGTTGCCGCAGGCCTTAGTGCAGATGAAAAGTTTAAAAAAGTGTTTTTATAGATAAGATAGGTAACTAGAATAGATTGATTTGTGCAGCAGCTGCCAATGAGCTTTAGACACAG